GTTTAAAACAAAATTTTGATTCAGTGGGTTTGGGAAGAGACAAAAGATTCTCCATTTCTAACAAGCTCCCTGATGTTAGTCCTTGCCCAACCAAACTTTGAATAGAAACACTTACAAGAGTCATGTGAGTCTTTGTGCAAAATGCTATAGACAGTATACACACAAAAGCACATCATTTTTAACTGGATCTCTTTTATAATCACTTTCTTACCTCAGACCGGCCTGGACATCACTACTTTGATAGGTAGTTTTTACATAAATGAAATTAATATTCAGTCTGTAAAAGCTAGCTAATTGAGTACTAGGTAAATTCACTCTGGAATGAGGAGAGATAGAGTCAAAGAAGACTCCTCAAAAAGGTCATATTTGAGGAAGGCCAGAGAAATAGTACAACAGGTAGGGAGCTTGCCTTTCATGTAGCAGATCCAGGTTCAATCCCTTGTACCCCATATGATTCCCAGAACACACCAGGCATGATTGCTAAGTGCAGAGTCAGGAGTAAGTCCTGAGCACAAGTTGGTACACCCCCAGACCCCAAACAAAAAACAAAGATGATATTTGAGCTGTATTCTGGAGGATGTTTTTTTCGAATTCCCAAATGGAAATGTGTGTATGAAAGCCAAGAAAGGAAATCCCAGGCAGGAAGCAAAGCATAAAGAAATGTAGGAATATAAACCACTTAGCATAAAGATGGAGGGGGGAGATTTATGAAAGATAAAAATACAAAACCATTTCTACCTACTAGTCTAGGAGTTAGGCTTTTATCTTGCAGGCATTTAAGAATAACTTAAAAATAGATTTCATAAAGCTTAACTTATCGAATTTACTAATGTTTTCTTTTCAGTAATATTTCATTGATTTTTACAATGAAATATTTCTCCATGCAACCCCAAGAAAGTCACCATCAGAATAACTTGCCCAACATTCAATGATAAGTTTATTAATGTTTCTTCTTTTTAATGAAACACTTCAAAATTTGGTTTTGGGTTTTACTCTTTTAACTCACTTAGTAAAACATGGAGTTGTATCTACTTTCACATAATAATCGTTCAAATTAATAAAATGTGAACAAAGCTGGTGAACATTCACCTATTTGCTTATTTTGGATTCAAAACCCAACACAGTGCTGACAATATTTCAACTTTCAACATCATTAAATGTAAGTAGAACATTACCAACGTACATGACTTATGATGATCTTTGAATAGTGGGATGACTAAATTTTGGGGCATCTGAAACTATTTCAAGCACAATTTGCAAACCTATCTCAGCTGAAATAAAGTCTTATTTTATGACTTTTAAAATTTCTCTTAGTGTTTAAAATAATACCTTGAAAGTGATTTTTCCATAATGATAGTCTTCAAAATAGGTCTTGTAAAAATCTAAAGTATTAGAATAAAATCAAAGATATAATGCCTTTACTAAACAAACTGTGAACTGAGAAGTACCTAATCTAGCAAGATTTTGGGTTTTGTTTTTTTGGCAAGGGGTTGTCCAAAAAGAAACACTTTTATAGACAGGAAGCTGGAGCGATAGCACAGCGGGTAGGGCGTTCGCCTTACACGCGGCCAACATGGCCGACCCGAGTTCGATTCCTCCGCCCCTCTCGGAGAGCCCGGCGAGCTACCGAGAGTATTCGATATGCCAGACACAGTAACAACAAAGTTTCCAATGGAGACGTTACTGGGCCCGCTCGAGCAAATCGACGATCAACGGGAGGGCCTTTACCTTTACCTTTTACCTGCACCAAGTAAAGAAAGAAGATTTCAAACTGAGTTGCTTCCTTCAGCTCTTATCATGCAGATGATCTTACATTCACTAACCAGAAAACTTCAGATTGGTTAGCTTTGAGGTCCGCATTAGGAAGAAAAGGAAACTGCATTCCTGTAAGTAAGGTAAGGTAAAGGCCCTCCCGTTGATCATTGATTTGCTTGAGCGGGCCCAGTAACGTCTCCATTGGAGACTTTGTTGTTACTGTGTCTGGCATATCCAATACTCTCGGTAGCTTGCCAGGCTCTCCGAGAGGGGCAGAGGAATCGAACTCGGGTTGGCTATGTTGGCCGCGTGTAAGGCAGACGCCCTACCCGCTGTGCTATCGCTCCAGCCCTTCCTGTAAGTAGTGATGCAGAAACTGTGACTGTGAAGTCTCTGTGTTCCTCCATGTTCTTCAGTGAAGAACCTCCAGGCTCTTCAATATTTTTAAGAATAAAAATTTGAATAATATTGATACATTAAAGAGTTAGAAGATCAAAAAGTGTGTTATTAAGCAGAAGTAAAAGAAACTTTCCATCTGAGGAGGAACTTAGTATAGGACAAAGTATGACTCACATTAGTGGGTTGTTTGTTATTTTAATAGAAAAACTCTGTCTTGGTGATACAAGAGTGACAAGGATGTTACAGAAAGTGCAAGTGTTGTACAGGGCTACAGATAGTGTAGCACTGTAGCATCATTTGCTCCAGCGGGCACAGTAACGCTTCCATTGTGAGACTTCTGTTACTGTATTTGGCGTATTGAATAGGTCACCGGTAGCTTGCCAGGCTTTGCCATGCGGGTGAGATTATCTCGGTAGCTTGCTGGGCTCTCCGAGAGGGGTGGAGGAATCAAACCGGGCTTGACCAGACTGGCTATGCGCAAATCAAACACTCTACCACTGTGCTATCTGGCTGCAACAGTGCAAGGATTATATATCCACTCCCCACCCCACTCCTCTGTGGGGTGGATCTGGGGACAAGAGGGTCTGTCTTCTGTGTTCTCAGACAGGTGGATCTGGTATTGAAATTGGTGGCTCCCACGGGATGCTTATGTGAAGGGGGGGATAGGTCATTTTCTCCCGAATCTGCCACTGCCGCAAGGGGAATAGCGGACTGATCAAGTTTGTGATGAGCCCCCGTTCTACATGGTCCAGAGCCCTGCTAGCCCCTTCAGGTAACTGTCAAGCCACACCTGACATCTGCTTTGTTTTCTTGGCAGGGGAGTTAATCCCTGCCACCAGATTCCTTCAGGAACCATAGGTTGGAATGCAGAATTGCTCTCTGCAGGAAAGGAAAGTGAGGCCTAGGCCTTGCCCAGGGTTACAGAGTTCTTGCCTAGCCTTGCTAACCAGGTAGGGTCTTTGACTGTTTGTAGCCTTGGGGCTATTGCTTTTATTACGTCCCAGGAATTCCATTGCCATGAGGGCCCTTGCCTGTCTACCTGCTGACATGAGAATAATTTAAATATGCATATGTGTGAGTATTTGGGTACATGTACACTATATCAGTTCCTGTATTTAAGTAAATAGGAATAACATGTAATTTTTAATATTTTGATAAATATACCTCTACTACAGCAATAAGATAATTGGAGAAGACTTTTCCCTTTTTGATATGCAATTGTAATCATGTGATTTTTCCATAAATAACAAAGTAAAAGTGGAAAGGATCTCTTTCATTGGTTCGGAAGGAAAGGAGACACCCACTCCTCACCCCACTTCTCTGTTTTCTTCCTGGATCGCTGGATCAATTAAATTAATGTTGTTATTGCAGGCACAGGTTCTTGTCCTCAGACAGTCGAGATTAAAAGAAAGGGACTAGAGACTGAATGGCCAAATTCAGAATATATTTTATTTAAGAGAAGGGAATGGAAGAGAAGAGAATGTAGGAAAGCTCTCAGATTATGGTATGGGGATATTAGAAAAAGGAGAATCTTTTCCCCTTTTATACTTTCATGCTTTGTTTTTTAAAATTCATTTTATTTTATTTTTTATTTGGGGGCCATACCCAGCCATGCTCAGGGACTACTGCTAGCTATACATTCAGGAATTACCCTTGGCAGTGCTTTGGGGATCATGTAAGATGCTGGGGATTGAACCCCAATGACCTCCTATAACCCCAGTTGACCCTACCTGCTTCACTATCTCTCCAGCCCTCCCTTTTGATACATTTTTAACCATTTTTAACCATTCAGATGGATGGGTGAGTGAGCATTTATTTTTACTGTTTGCCAAAAAAGTGGACCATTTAAACAGGGGTGAGGATGCTGGGATGATTACCTTCTGATATATGGTTAAGTCTTCTAGATTATTTAGGTTATTCAGCAAAGCCTAAATCTTTTGGGTTTTTTTCTGATAGAAAGGTTATTGCTTGCAAAAAAATCCTAATTCTGTATATATATCTTAATTTTCGTTCTTCTCTGTAACTAAGTTCTTTTTGAGCTGCAAGTTTCTATTGAGCTGCAGAGCCTGCACTGACTTCATCTCAAAATAATTCACATGCCATAGTGGCATGTCTTGGGAAGCCCTGGACCTATTGGGGGAAGCCTATTCATCATTTTCTCGGGAAATACATTTACATAAATTGCCTAGAATACATTTCCCCTCAATGCATGCTTTGTTAGGATCATTTCCTTTGACTATATTTTATTATGTGTTCATTTAATATTCTAATAATTGCTGTTCTTGAGATTCTGACTAGATTTTACTGGAATGAAAGGCTTGGGTGGATGATCAACTTCCAGTTTTTTTGAAATTACAAGAGAATTAATGAGAAGAGAGAACTAATTTGGTTGCAATTTGCAGTTAGTGAAATTGCTTTTCTATTTTTTTTTCTTTAGCAAAAGCTCCTAAGTATCTCTCTCCAAAATAATATCCTATAGCTTCTTCAGTGAAAACATAGCTGCTTTCAGTGAGGAATGTTTATCCACACGTACAGAGTATATTTATAACGTAACTGGAAAGGGTTGATACTTGCCTCTTTACTTCTAAGGCAAGCTCACATTCTGCTTCCACTGATTATTTTTTCAATATTATTTTCTATATTCTTTTATGGTCTGCCAGTACTTTTTAAAGGCTAGTTAGTTAGAACAGCAGCCAACGGAGCTGAGACTAAAGGGGGGCCAAATATCTCTTCAGAAGCAAGACTACTTCAAAAGCTATGCATTACAAAGCACTACTGTGACTCAAAAAAATCACTTATTTGTAAAGGGGATTTGCTAATGTGGAATTGGTTTCTTATCTTTCTAGCCCCTAGTGAGCCTTTACTGTGCAAATTTGCTGATGGAGGACAAAAGAAGAGACAGAATCAAAGCAAATATACCCAGAATGGAAGGCCTTGGCCCAGGGAAGGAGAGGTGAGTCCTGAGTAATTTTGCCTCAGAAATTTGTAAACACACATTGCTCAGAAGCACCACAAGACAACCATTTGGGGATATTATGAAATTCTGTGGAAAACCAAATAACTTCAAATAGGCAGACCTATGTTAATGTTTTCAGGATAAAATTGTTTGAGAAGATATATAGAACTTCAAAATTGACCTCAGTTTTGCCCTACAGCAACTCTTCTGAATCTGAGCCTGAAAAGACACCCCTGAAAGAGGAATCCACAAAAACTATTTTATCTGTTTAATTGTACAACAAAATTAGTGCATGACAGCATAAAATTTTGTCAGTGAAACAATACTGAGAATTGAATGGCATTTTGAAAAGAAAAAATCAAACAGCAAGTAAATTTATTTTATACTACTCTTGAAATGCTCTCCTTACAGAGATGTGGCAATGAAGATGCTTCTGTGTTTGGCATTAATACATGTTTTTTTTTTAAAAAAAAATCTGAGCATATATGAGTAAAAGATGGCATTTTCTGTTGGTCAAGAAGGAAAAAGAAAGTTGATCTACATAAGTTTCTGCTTTGTCCAGCAATGACAAAAAATATGTAGTTATTATCCATGTACTTATAACAGAGACCCATAGAAAAGCAAGCTTATGGATGCAGTTCCATTTGGGAATTTTTGGTTATTTTTGTTCTAAGAGGACAAGAAAAATGTGCTTGGGATTCTAAGAGGTGTATTTTTTTTCTTGGAGAAAAGGAATGGAATTATTTGAATGACTTGAATAAATGCCATTTTTGTGTCAAGACCACAATTTTAACTGAAGAGCTTTATTTAAGATTTCTTTTCAAAGTACCTACTTCATCTATTTGTCATTTAATAGGCTTCCTACATCATGCAGCATTTTTTATAACTTCAATAGTCAGAGAACAGTTGTAAGAGAAGAAAGGAGGGTAGAAGGTTTCTTAGCAAAAAGTGTTATCCACTTTCTGTTTCTAAGACAATTGTCTACTTTTGCAGTTTGCAGATCTTCTCATAAAGTGTGTAGTTATGTCCACGCATGGCATAATTCTATCTTATTAATTTAAAACACAGAAAAGTGAACCATCACTGTGCACCTGTTTCAGTACTATCATGCTCAGAAAGGCCATCTGTGTTATGTTCAAAGATGAACAAGGGAACACAAATTGACTTCTTGCTTTTGGTATGCAGTTTAAGTGTTCAGCATATATCCCACTGCCCTCAAAAGAGTTGATTTTTGTGCAGCACTCCTTACTACATAGATCATATACCAAAATTCATGATCTAGAAAGGTTCATCTGCTCTTTTAAAGTTTGGTTTGTTCCAATGGCTATTATTGGAAAGACTTCTTCATCACATTTCTTCAGGCCTTAACCAATAAGCCTCAGACAACAGTAATGGTTAAAACTTTGGTTCATATTTCTGAAGAATTTACTGGAATGGACATTTTCTCCTCATTATTGTACATTCACCTGTGTCTTTTTAGTTTAGAAAACCAATAAAACAAAAGAGAAATGTAAAGTGAACACCCTTCTGCTTTGTACAGAATCTAGGTAGGGTTTGAAATTTAAACAACAAACAACGTGTGCATTATTGGGGAAAAATAGCATGGTGGATTCAAGTTTTGGACCCAGAGCACCTTATAAATAAATGAAGTTTTTATTTATATGTTATTCATTTGGACAAACTTGCAGGCTGTCGAATGTAGCCTGCCCACAGGGCAGAGTCTGGCAAACTCCCCGTGGCCTACCAAATATGCCAAATACCAGTAACAATGATGGGTCTCATTCTCCTAAAGAGCCCTGAATATAATCTCAGGGCTAGGATGAAAGAGACGTTACTGGGGCCTGCTCGAGGCAATCGACGATTAACAGGATGATGAAATGAAATGAAAATTCATTTGAAGCTGGAGCGATAGCACAGCAGTAAAGCATTTGCCTTGCACGCAGTCAGCCCGGTTGAGCCCGGTTCGATTCCTTCGTCCCTCTCTGAGAGCCCGGCTAGCAGCCGAAAGAGTATTTTGCCCGCATGGTAAAGCCGGCAAGCTACCCATGACGTACTCAATATGCCAAACACATTATCAACAAGTCTCAAAAAAAACGGAGACGTTACTGGGCACGCTCCAGCAAATTGATGAACAACGGGAGGACAGAGACAGTGATGTTTTGGGGACACAACTAATCACGCTCCTGACTCTGCACTCAGATTAATCCTGGCAGGACTCAGGGAGACCAAATGAGGTGCCAGGTCAGCTGCAAGCAAGGCAATAGCCCTACCTGTTACACTGCAGCTCCTGCTCCTACATGTAGTTTTTTTAGTTTATTTTTAATTGAATCATAGTGAACTACAAGTTTCCAGAGTTTTTCATTATTGGATTTCAGTTCATATCATGTTCCAACACCCATCCCTTCACCAGTGTACATTTCCCATCACCAATATCTCCTAAATGTTGTTTTAAAAGAATATTCCTAATATCTGATTTAGAAATCTTGTGTTTTAAGAATTAGTATATATTAAACTATGAAAATCTAGGGTCCTTAATAAGTGTATCTGTGGTCAATAAGAATGTATTTCAGGAGCCAGAAAGAGGGCTCCAATGGCCAGAGCACATGCTTTGTATTGATAAAGAGGTCCAGTTCAATTTATTCCCCAACTTCCCATCCCGACTCCAGCACCGTATGGACACTGAACACTACAGGGTTTGCCATCCCCTAACAAAATTCAAATGTAAAAATATTTAGAAGAAAGGAAAAAAATGGTATGTGCTAAAATATATATCTGAGTCATGAGCAAATATAAAATATCTTGATTTTGAGATAAGCCGTTAACTTTTACAACTTAATTATGGTTTTAGAAGTAAATACTCCTAGAATGTTGGTCAAAGTGGTGTGTCCATTATCATATTTTTTGCTTTTGCTTTACTAGTGAAATAAACAGATTTTATTAAAATATGTGTTTGTTCTTGATAAAATAGGATAATGCAAAATAAATCCTACAACTACAGGATTTAACTTTCCTATACTAGATTTTAATCACTCCATTTTATTGTGTCTAAGACTAATTTTTGGGATGGCTCATTTACCTTTTATAACTTCTGAAATTGCATCTCCTTTTATAATCAATGTCATTATTATAAGACAATTTGCATTTGCTTTTGCTAGTCACCTAGGGGCAACACCTACATTCTTTGCTTAAGGTCTTTGACCTCACTGATTGCATGCATTGAAATTGTAATCAAGTTCTGGTGGGTGGTTTGTTTTTCTTTTGCCTTTAAACTGGTCATTCAGCACTTTGACATTCAAATTTTACCAGCTGGTAATGGGTGTTTGTTTTGCTTTCTTCTTTGTTTTATGTGCCTTGCAATCATTGTTACCTTCTATGAAATGAAAGATGATAATTTCTGCTGCTTGAGAATTTGAAAGTGAGATTGTGGCAGAAGTTTAATTTTTCTCTTAAAGATGAGGTAAAAATATAATGTGAAATAATTCTGATGGAATGCACAAGATATAAAGTCAGTGGATTGCTTAGAAGTTTCATAAACTTAAAAATATAGGCTAATTATTTATTTTGTAAATTCAGGATATCACCTTTATAAATTATTTTAGCAATGCTTGGTGAAATTCTTAACTTTATAAAAAATCTAAATCTAAAAACTTATGTTCATAAATTAGTTTAAATTAGCAAGATTTTGAAATATCAGATAATGCCAGTAGACATACCTATGTCATTCTTAAACTTTATAGACATAATTACTTCCATTAAAATTAATAATAGAGTTGGCAGAAGGATAATGAGTGGATAAGACATTCAATTCTCAGCAAACTAGATAGTCTTCCAATCCCTGCCAAAAGTGATCCCTGAGGAAGTAGTAAGCCCAGAGCACTTTTGAGTGTGGCCCCAAAACAAACACACAAAAAATAATAGATTCATCACATGTTAAGAAAAAACAGTTTTTGGTTCTTTGGTCACTTGCTCTGAGCTCAGAATTCATTCCCAGAAATGCTCAGGTGACCATGTAGTATCCGGGATCAAATCTGGGCTTTCCACATGCAAAGAGTACATTAGTTCATTGAGAAATTTTTCCAATTCAAAAAATAGTGCATTTTCATGGAACATAAGCTCTCTCTCTCTGTCTCTCTGTCTCTGTCTCTGTTTCTGTCTCTGTCTCTGTCTCTGTCTCTCTCTCTCTCTCTCTCTCTCTCTCTCTCTCTCTCTCCACACCACACCACACACACACACACACACACACACACACACGGTTGGGGGGAGAGAAAGAAAGAGAACTTTTCTTAGAAGAATGGCACTGTGTTTTCATAGTTTTGCAAATCAACTTAATGTCTTGCTTAGTAAAATGTCACCAGATTTGCATATTTATTTCGCCTACAAAATATTGCAACATTCTCTTTGGTTTAAGCATATAAAGAAAAAAATTTCTATATAGTCATGCTTGAAAAAGACTGAAAAATAGAGGACTTTATGGATCTCAGAACTCTCAGATATTTATAGGCTATACTGTGAGAATAAGTCTCCATATTCCCAGAGAACCGGGTAGCTTGTTAAAATACTAAAATATGCCTATATTCTTTGCTAAAGAGCCACTATCACTACTCCATCAGTACTACTCTCTGCCTCTTTTCCTCTGGGTCATCCTCTAGGATGATGTCTGATGTTTCTAAGGAGGGCCTCTATAGATCCCTGCTGACCCCCCCCCCCGAATATTATAAGGGATCTATTGGTGATAAATCATTGAAATGGGGAAGTCATGCATAATTTGAGAGAAGGGGACACATAGGAAGGAAACAGGCTTGAAAAGGTGCCAGGGTTGAAAAAAGTTCGTGAAACACTACTCTAGGAACTTTCTTAATATGTCACAAGAAGATTAGGGTACCACCTAGCACAGCAAGAGTTCCCTAGGGTTCTACCCCAGCATTGATATTCTGATAGAGTCATGCATATGCCATATCAGTATGGTAAATGTGATGTAACTACTTTTAATGTAACCC